GAGATCCAGATGAGTACATGACTCTGCAACCACCCATGACCCCTGGAGAGGAGGTGAAGCCGTTTTAAGGTTTGGCCCATCTGATGGCGTTTGGACACACTGTCCAGTTTGGCCTATCTACCCAGGTCTGAAGTGGAGGAAAGAAGTTTCTGCCTCGCCTCTGTCCTTGTCCTTCCTGGTGATTTTCCTCAAACCGTTAGTCATGAAGCTACATTCTGAGCCTCCCTGACAATGGTTTCCACATGTGGGCACTGGGCCTCCAGGGCCAGGGCTCCAGAGCTCTAATCATTCTGCCCTCCGTTCACCCTTCCCCTCTGCCCGCCTTTTCCTGGGGCCCCCACCTGCCTGTCTTGCTGTTAACATCGAAGGACAAATGCAGTGCTATATTTCAGTCATCTGGCAGATCTGATTAATTTTGGAAATGAACAACGCAAAGATTCATCACAAACTTTCAGGTATGAGCAGCCATAAACAAAACCAGAGCACGGAGCACTATTTATTTATTAAAACTGTAAATTGAAGGGAAATGGGCAATTTATTTTGCACGATGTCTTCCACAGAAGTAATTGGCTCATTAATCACACTCTCACCGTGGTCACGTTCGGAAGGTCAGGCTCACCAGGGAAATGAAACAGGGGGCGGTGTTTACAGCTCTGTCAGCATGTGGAGCCCCATGAGGCTGGCTCCTGGGGACCGTGGCACATCCCAGGGAGATTCTATATCATGCGAAGGCAGCCAGGCAGTTGGGAGGCGGTGTGGCATAGTGGCTGGGGGCTTCCCTGGGGGCTCAGCAGTGAAGAATCAGCCTGCAATGCAGGAGATGCAAGAGACGTGGGTTCAATCTCTGGGTAGGAAAGATTCCCTGGAGAAGAACATGGCAACCTCGTCCTGTATTCTTGCCTGGAGAATCCCATGGACAAAGGACCCTGGCGGGCTCCGGTCCATAGGGTCACAAAGAGTCTGCACGACTGAGCGACTGAATACAGGCACACACTGGGGAAGGGATCCAGTTATACCAGGGGCATTTCCATGGCCAGGAACTGAAGATGGATGAAGCGTGAGTAGAACATGTTACACGAGCAGAAAGTTTTGGGAAAAACAACCTCCATGTTCCTCTTTGCTCAGGGGATCACTTCCTTGGATAGTCTGTTTAGTAGTTCAATCCCTTCTGGAAATCCTGGTGCTCCTCACCAAGGAACCCAGGGGTGGAATTTAAGTGTACCCTTCAGACAGAGCACAGCGCCCCCTAGGGGCTATTGTGAGGGTGGCAGCAGCAGGAAGTGGAATGTCACCGGGAAGAGGACAGGGAGGGATGGGGGAAGGGATTGGGAGAGGGGAGGGACCAAGACTGGTCCTGAATTTAGGCCACTGGGCTCAGCTGCTTCTCTCACCAGGAGCGGCTCCTCCTGGGAGAAGCTTCTGTGCCATGGGCTGGATTCTGGGTGTTTTCTACAAAAAATGCCATGTCACAAGCAGGATCTGCTGTGTACTTTGCAGGGCCCAGTACAAAATAAAGATACGGAGCCCCTGGTTCAGAAATTATCAAGACAGTGACAGTAGAAGATCAAACTAAGCTGGGGCTGGAGGTGGCTGGAAGGGACTCTGAACTCAGGGTCCCATGCCGCACAACCATGGAGCCACCTCTGGCCATAGGTTCTCCCTGTGGGGACCAGGGATGGGCCTGGGCCCCCTCTCCTGGGTACAGTGATGGGAAGGCTGAACAGAGAGAAGAGGCATTATGTGATGACGATCTTTAAAGTTTGGTTCCCAGGCATGACCACACTGTGTGATCTGAAAAAATATCCACATTAGGGCTAATGCCCCCTAGGCCCTTTCTGGCCAATCAGTTGGTAAAGCACTGAGGAGAGACATGGTTCCTGTCTGTGGGCAGAGAGATGGACTGAGGCCAGAGCCAGGCAGTGGGGGTCTCATGGGGTCGGGAGCTGGAGGTGTGCCCACCGCAATCCCCTCTCTCCTCTCGGGTGCCAAGGGCTGGAGAATGAGCAGGGCTGAGCACACAGTTTTGGGTGACTGTCTTGCACTTATTTTCCAATCATGAAGAAAGCAAGCAAACATAGACTCTTAAGGCCAGGGAGTCTCTGTCTTGCCTCAGAACTCCCTTGGATCTCCTGTCTGTATTTAGAAAGAGATGACGAGAATAAAAGGACTCTGATTTCCAGCAGCCTCTGCTTCACAGGGACCATGTTAAATAATGTTAAATCACGGCAGCCTTGTTCCTGTGAAAAGACGTTTGGAGAGTGGACAGAAATAACTTTCCCATTTGGGGTCAGTGTGTGTGTGTGTGTGTGACATACTGCATGCATGTGCACACACGTGGATGTGTGAAGCCTGTGTATGTGCATGCAAACACTGAAGGTGCAAACGCATGCCTACCTGTTACTTGTGTGCACAGCAATTGTAGAGATTGTGTGTGCGTCCACACACAATTGAAGGTCTGTGCATGAGTAGATTCTGATGTCTGACATCTTTACACCCCGATTCTGGCAGTCAGTCTGGTTTGTTGTAAAGAGCAGGGGCAAGAGTCAGCAGCACATGAGCGGGCTGGGTCTGGGGTGAGGAGGGCTGTCTGTCGTCCCCGTCTGTGTCACGGCCCCATCAGAGCTCCATGTGGTGGGTCCGCTGCCTCCATTCACCAGCATCCCTCTGTCCTCTGCTTGCCTTGGCTTCCCCCTCTCAACCTCAGCACACACAGGCTCTGGCTCACTCAGCCCTCTGGGGCTCATCTCTGTGTATGGTTGTGGCTCCTGGCCTTCTTCACCAACTGTGTCATGGTACCAGTTTGCAGGCAGAATGTGATCGGCCCAGCTCACCCTCTTATGTTGTCACCAATCACTGACCAGTCTCTGGATACTGCCCGCAGGTCTGGTCAGATCAACTATGGGGGGTGGAACCTGGTCATGGTACAAGTGGGGTCACTGATGGGGCTATGGTTGGGACAGTTTTCCTTAGAAGCGCATGGATAGAAGGCCATGATGAACATCCCAGGTCCTTTGGTAAAGCCCCTGTCACCTGCTCAGGACCCACCCTGTGGAGGCAGGGATACCTGGGCTGCCCCACAGGCAGGACTTGCTGGGCAAAGTGGGCTCAAGTGGAGGCAGCCTTCTGGTGTCTGGGGTCTTCTCTTCCCCCTCCTCTGATCCTCTGTTAGGAGTTAAATTGTGCCCCCTATTCATATGTTGAAGTCTTGACTTCAGAATGTTACCTTGTTTGGAGATGGGGTCTTAACCAAGGTACTGATGCTAAAATGAGGTCATTAGGATGGACATTAATCCAGTACAAATGGTGTCCTTATAATAAGGAGAAATTTGGAAACAAGACACAGAAAGAAGATGGTTATTTACCAGCTAGGAAGCAAGGCCTGGCACACCGCCTTTCTTCACAGCTCTCGGGGGAATCAACACTGCCAACACCTTCATTTTGGGCTTCTGGGCTCCTGGATTGTGAAACACCACACTTCTGTTGTTTAAGCCTGGTCTTAATAGCTGGTCTATGGTATTTTGTTATAGAAGCTCCAGCAAACTAGTATACACACCAAGAAAAACTTCCTGAAAAGAAGGGAAGAAGCCTTTGGACACCACCGTCCCTAGAGGGTGGACTAGGGCTACAGACATCCAGTGAGGGTGTCAGCTAGGAGGCCAGGCCTTCTTGCACTCACACCCACCCCTGTGTGTAAGGCCCCTAAGCTAGGTGCTTCTGACACTTGGCCCCTGGATTCATCGCAGGAGGAAGCTCTGAGTCTGGCATCTTAACTAGGTGTTTACCATCTTTGGTGAGACCCACTGAAGGCCAGGAAAAAAATCTCATCCTATTTGCATTTCAGAAAGATTCCTTGAAAATTTGTGTGGAGGGGAGGTGAGACAGGAATGGAGGAAGGCTGGAGATGGGGAGGCAGGTCCTCGTGAGTGATGAGGGAGCCCAGGGAGGGGATTCTGTGGCTGTTGAAGGAGCATCACTGCCACGATGGACTGACAAGATATGGGAGTGAGGAGCGGGGAAGTGAGAGACAGGGGACTCTGGTGTGAGTGCCTGGAGGAGGGCGGTGCCGGTCACTTGGCTGGGCCTGGGAGGATGAGGGACAGCTCTGTTTTCTGCACGTCAGATGAGCACTGTCCAGGGGCAGCCGCCCAGCTGCCCGGGGCCCGTCAGCAGTGGGAGATGGGACCTGGGGCACAGAGGAGCGGTCCGGGCACAGACGGGGATTTGAGTATCACTGTGTCATGGGTGGGGGCCCTTGTACAGAGGGACTGGCTGTGAGCTGCTTCTCCCAGGAACAGGGCTAGAGACTGGCACTAAAGAGGTGATTGGGGCGAGCACAGAAGGAGGAGGGTGATGACACGGGGAGGAACACGCAGGGGGAGCCGGCCACCTACAAGCCAAGGAGCCCCTGAGGCTTCTAGACGCTTGGGGAGAGGCCTGGGCCTGATTCTCCTCACAGCTCTCAGAAGGAGCCAGCCCAGCTGACACCCCGACTTCAGACTCCTAGCCTTCAGAACCGTGTGACGACAGCTGTTTAAGCCACCCAGTGTGTGGCATGTTGTTGCCCCTGGGAACTACTGCACCGTGATTCATGGAAGGAGCTGACGGTCTCAGCAGCTGGATGTGGCAGTTGCTGACGCAAGTCTCACTGCTGAGTGCCTGAGCCATGGACAGCTTTGGGAGGTGAAGGCGGTGGCTTCTGGAGAGCAGTGTGGTCTGAAGCCCAGTGGCTGATGAGCCTTCCTGGTTTCTCAGGATGAAGGACTAAGGCGTCCCGTGGAGGCAGAGGGAACCCTCTCTCTGGAGGTGACCCTGAGGTGCCCATCTCGTCTCCCTGGGCCCCAAAAGAGAAAGCTGGCAGCTTGCACCACAAGCTCCCACTGTCTGCAGGGCCTTAAAGCCTCATTTCTCAGGGGTGGGAGCAGGGAGGGCAAACACAGCCACATCTTGGGCTCCAAGTTCAGAGGAGCCAGGCCTGAATCTCCATCAAATGACTGTAACACCCCTTTTCTTAATCAATGGTATTTTATTGTCAGTTATAAATATTTTCCACGTGTCCCCTATTTACAGTTGCAAAATAGTTTATGATATTATACCCTCACCCACCGTTCGGCATCTTTCTATAAACTCCATGAAAATTGAATAGGAAATACAAAGCTCTTTTGGGGGCCCACCAACCTGGTTCCCCAGACTCCAAACACCCCACACGGACAGCAGGCAGCTTGCAGCAGGTGCTACACAGTAGCAAAGGGGCGGGGCGTGGGGGCGGCTCCCGGCGGGGTCAGGATGCCAGGCTCCTCAGGACGTTGGTGATGCTCCAGTGCTGGCCCGAGCACCTCTGCAGCACCAGCTGGAAGCCGAACTCCGCTTCGTTGTTCTCCTGCAGCTCCAGACAGCGCTTGGACTTGCGGTTCTGGATGGGGCCTCCCTAGGAGCCAGGATGGAGAGTGGGGTCAGAGGGCGTGGGGGAGCCTCAGGCCCAGGGGCTGGTGGGGATTACTTGTGGGTGCAGACGCGTGGGATCCTGGGAGGCTGCGGAAGGTCTGGCGTCAGCGTGCCCACAGAGCCTGAGGCTCCCCATCTCCAGGGGCTGGTTTCCTCCCCAAGATGGAACCCTGTGCCTCTGTTTTCTTCACAAGGCCCTAGTCCTTTGTTAGGAAAGAGGACAGAAATGCCGCAGCCCAGCTTCCATCTACCTAGCTGGGTGTGGCACGCTGGTTTGCTTCTATTGTGCCTGCCATGGGGGCTGGGCCCTGCTCCCCATTTGTTCTGCAAATCCTGGTTCCTTGGGACCACACCATGATGGGCCTGAATGTAAGCATCACCAGAGGCCCAGGACCTCCTGCTTTTAGGGTCCTTGCTCCCAACTGGACCTCTGGAGTCATCAGTGCTGGCCTCAACCAAACCCAGGCTCCTTGATACTGTCTTACAGCCCTGGGCTCCATCAGCCCTGGATATGCTTGGTTTCCCTCTATGCTGCTGATGTTCCAGGAGGTTCTGTAGCCATGCATGCTCAGTTTATGCTCAAAGCCCTTGAAAGAAGGGAGGTTCTGCTTCTTAAAGCAGCCCTACAGCAGCAAAAAAGAAACCTCCAATTTTTGCTTTTAGTGAGATCCTTGCAGGCCTTAGGCACTCTGAGACTGGCACCTGGGTGTCAGTCCAGACTCTCGGAATATCTCTGAGTTTCACCAGAGATATGCTCAGCCTGGCTTTGGCCTCCCAAGCAGGCAGGCTCTTACAAGTTGGCCCCCTGGAGCTTCATGGTACTGGAGTATATGGACAAACTCACTTTTCCCCAGAATCTACTCCTCCTGTGTTTCCCATCTCAGCAATAACCAAGCATTTCCACGGACACCTCTGCTTCTCCCCAGTGCTGATTAGGCACCAAATCCTACCAATTCCTCCTCATACCCTGTGACTGTCCCCTTATCCCCATGCCATCACACCTGCCCCGGTTCGGGCCACGGTCTCCCGTCACCTGGACAACTGCACCAGTCTCCTAACTGACCCCCTTCCCTCTCCATAAGCAGGACTCTGTAGTGCACACCCCAGCTGCCCCCATGCCCATCCCAGCGAACAGCACCCTGTGATAGAGGGGGACACACCCCTCTTCTGTAAGGAAGCCATCCTCTTGGCCACCACTGTCCCCATGGCAACCACTGACACCTCAAGAGAACACTGAGACTCAGTTCTTCCAGCCACCCGGGAAATGGGCAGCATCTCCTGCAGCTGAGTGTACACAGCCCTGAGACCCACCAACCCCAGGCCCAGGTGGATATCCAGAAGAACTGTCTGCACCGGTTCTGAAGCATGGTTTATAAAAGCTCCAACCTGGACACAACCCAAATGTCCATCAATAGTACAATGGGTAAATAACTTGTGGTTATTCACCTAACTCGTATGTTAAAAATGCTGTACATTACAGCATTAAAAATGGGCAAACCAGAGCTCCACTCATTAAGGACAAATCCCACAAATACAGTGCTAGCAAAAGAAGCCAGACAAAGAACACATACGCAATTAGACTTACATATACTTTCCAAACAGGCAAAAAAGACCACAGACTTAGAGTCAGGGGTGGGTATCTTGGGGAGGAGGGAGTGGGAAAATGATTGCTGCTGCTGCTAAGTCGCTTCAGTCGTGTCCGACCCTGTGTGACCCCGGGATTCTCAAGGCAAGAACACTGGAGTGGGTCACCATTGCCTTCTCTGGGGAAGATGATTGACAGTAGACCAAAGGGTGCTTCCTGGGAGTTGGGAGTGTGCTGTTTCCTGACCTGGCTGGTGGTTACCTAAATGTTGGCTTTGTTTTAAAATTATTGAGTTGAACATTTATTTTGGTATGTATGTTTGCATGGTTCTATCTGCATATATGTTATTCTTCAGCTAAAAAAGTTTGAAACAAAAATCCTGCTCTCTCAGAGGGACTTTGAACAGCAGGTGAAGGAGCCAGGGGGCTGGGGGGTAAGGAGTGTATTTTATATGTGTGTCTGGGAGGGGGTGTGGGACTCCCCATTTGCTGTGTGTGGGAGATGGCCCGGGGACTGCAAACCTCCTTAGAAGCATTCAAGGGAGTAAAGCGGTGTGTCCCCGTGTGCCCCGACCCCAGCACCTCCCCTGAGGAGAGCAGGGGCTCGCTGATCCCGAGAGAGAGAGACAGCACAACAAAAGCAGCTCATCTGGGGCCCAGAGGTGCAGCCAGAGAGAAGCCCTCAGGCTCAGGCTCTGAGGGGCCAAGGGACGACGGGCCACCGGGCAAGGGCTCGGAAAGGCCCCTGGGGTCCCCGTGTTGGAGGAGATGCAGAAGGCTGGCCCTCTCATCCTCGCCTGCAAGCTGACTGGGCCGTCCTGGCCGGGCACTCTTCCCTGGGCTGCTCCACCTTGGGAGAACTCTCCCCCACTGGATGAAAATTGTTGTCTCGGGGGCAACCAGCAAGGGGCCCAGACTGTGCCCCGAGGTTTCCATAGGCGTGTGGGTTCCTGCTTCTCCACCTTCTCCTTTCCCGTACGGGAAGACGGGGTGCACAGTCCCACCCACCCCCCAGTTCCATTCTCTACCAGGTGAAACATTTCCAGTTCCTTGTGAGACAATCTGGTTTCATTTTGCCAGCCCAGTGGCCCTCCTGTGGACAGACTCCAGTAGTTGTGAGTCACTCAGAACTGACCACGCAGCAGAGGGTCACCACCTCGTCTCCACTGAACAAGAGGCTCCTTGGACACAGCCGAGGACTTTGAAGGCCTCACCACGCTCCCGAGCCCCGACTGGAGGATTGTTGGCCAGCCTCGAGTCGTACCTTCAGAAGCTGTGCTCCACCTTGGGTCCTCTCCCTGTCCCTCAAAATCTTGGCTTTTGAATCCAGAGGAATCCCTTGACACCTGCTCTAAGTGAGGCCAGCCAGTCCTCCACCAGGCTCTGGTTTCCAAGGCCTGAGCGCTCTGCCACCCACACCCAGGCTGGGTTGGTCTAGTGCCAGCCCCTGCCCTATCCTCCTGTATCCCCGGCAGCCTGGTGGGATGTCTTATCCTGTGAGGCTGGAGGAGAGCTCAGGCAGGATGGGGATGAAACCAGCCCAATTCTCTAATCACAAGGTCTGCTGGTGATTTGGGGGGTGAGACAGAGGAGAGGGTTGGATAGAGATGCTTCTGCCCAGGGCAAGCTGCTCTGCCCTCCTGCTTCCTTTCTCTCTAGGGCCAGATGGTAATTTTGGTCCTGATGACTGAAGAACGAGCAGAAGGATCGAAGGGGAACCCCTTTAACAGCCACAACACAACAGATGGCTGTGAAGCTATTCACGGTGTCAGGATTGGGGCTCCAGAAAAAGTGCACAACAGGCAGAAAAGGGGGACAGACGAGGATTCTGACAGCTCAGGAGGTCCTCAAGGCCAGGCCAGGCCTTGCCAACTGTGAGACTGCTTCACCAAGCCCAGACCACTGAAGTCTGGAGAAACTTGTCCAAACCAGAGGCGTCCATAGCTCTCTCCTTTCCCGCCAGCCACTTGGGCACATTCTAAGCCTTCCTCGGGGATGCTATGCCAAGGCCGAGAGAGGGAGGTGGGGCAGAGGTCTCTGAGAAGCAGAGCGTTCCTTCAGAGGCTCAAATATGGCATTTCCCAGGCCCTCCCCTGACCCAGACGCTCTCTCAGCACCCTAGAGACAAGAAGCATGGTGACCCTGAGGCAGAAACAGCCTCCGGGAAGGCTGTGCGAGAAAGGGAGTCAGGCCAAGAGAAGGGCTGTGAAGGAGACACAACCTCAGTGAGGGCATCTGGACCTGAGGGTGGAGAATGAGGCCAAGAGAGCTCTCTTCCCAGAGGCATTGAAGGAGAATCTTCCAGAACAGAGTAGTAAGGCTACCTCGGAGGCCTGGTATATGTCTTGGGATACGTGGGATACGGAGGAGCCAGCCCATTCTCTGATGTGGAGCTGCGCTGATCACTGGCCAGTCTCCCTCCTGTCTTCCTTCCCAGACCTCAAGCTCTGTCATTGAGCAAACCCTGGAATCTCACCCCATTCCTGGGCAAATTCGACTTGCCCCAGTTGTGAAGGAGACTTCCTTTTTTCTATTCAGTCCCTTCACAGTGAGCTCAGCACCTTTGGGGGCAGCCTGGTGGAGTTACTATTCTTATCTCTACCTGCAGGCTCTGCCCTGAGATAAAAGTAGGGACAGTTAAGGCTCATTTGCAACATCCCCAGCACTGTGTTAAGGGCTTCACACACTGGTTCATGTGTTCCTCACAATAATGCTGAGCAGTGGAGGTAAGAATTATTCCCATTCTGTAGAATTGGAGACTGAGGCTCAAAGAGTTGGGCCACATGGTCAGTCAGTGGTACAGTCAGGCTGGGAGTCTGCCGCCTTCACTGTTCCCCACTAGGATGAGTGGCCAGACCTTCTCCTCAATTTATCCCGCCCGGGCCTGTTGGTGAACTAGACTGAGAGCTGTGGTGCACCACAGCTTGCGGTGGAGGAAGGCCATCTAATGGGCCCCAGGGGCTCTGGAGAGTCAGGTTGATCTACTTCTTTTGAGAGTTCTCTGCAAAGACATGAGTCATTGTTCTATCCATCCATCCAGTAATTAATGACTGCCTATCACATTCTGGGAATAGTTACTGGCCACTGACACAAATCAGTGACTAACAGGAGGAGATCTTTGTCTTTGTGGAGACTATATTCTAGGAGGAAGAGAGAACAGTAGATTCTTTACTGTGTTAAAGGTGCTAAGATTATGCACAAAAATGGAGAACAGTGCTGTGGATTGAATGTGTCCCCTATAAATTCATGTGTTGAAGCCCCGATCCCCAGCGTGATGCGAGGTGGGGCCTTGGGGAAGGAATTAGGTCCCAGGGGTGGAGCCCTCCTAATGGAATTAGTGCCCTTATAAGAAGAGATGCAGGAGAGATGGTCTCTTTCTCTGGGCCATGTGAGGACACA